CTTTTGTCTCCACTAAGTTTTGCCTGCGATTGGGAAGGTCACCTATATTACTTAGTCAAAACTTAGAGGTCRAAACTGCTGATGGTAACATCACCAAGGTGCGAGAGTGTTTTGATAACTGCACAATAGAAATTGAGGGTCAAGACTTTGAGGTCCACTTATTACCTATGGGCATTAGAGAATTCGATGTTGTCATAGGAATGGACTGGTTGTCTAAACACCAGGCTCACATTATTTGCTTCAAGAAACTAATTCAAGTGAGAAATATAGATGGGAATGAGATCACTGTGTACGGTAGTCGGCCTGGCAATCACGTTAACCTCATATCTGTGATCAAAGCTAGAAGATGTATTCATAAAGGATGCGAGACGTACTTAGCATGTCATAAATGCTAAAATGGAAAATGGAGCTATAGAGGAAGTCCCAGCGGTTTGGGAATTCCCTGATGTGTTTCCTGATGACCTACCTGGGGTACCTCCTTAAAGACAAGTTGAGTTTAGGATTGATTTAACACCCGGAGCCACACCGATTGCTAAGTCACCTTACCGACTAGCACCATCGGAAATGCAAGAACTGATGAATCAAATCCAAGAATTGTTGGATAAAGGATTCATCTGACCAAGTTCGTCCCCATGGGGAGCACCAGTGCTATTTGTGAAAAAGAAAGATGGATCGATGCGCATGTGCATCGACTATAGGGAGTTGAATAAGGCGACAATAAAGAATAGATACCCACTACCCCGAATAGACGACTTATTCGATCAACTACAAGGAGCAAGTTACTTCTCAAAGATCGACCTACGATCAGGCTACCACCAGTTGCGGGTTCGTGAAGAAGATGTCCCCAAGACGGCGTTTAGAACTCGTTATTGGCACTACGAGTTTTTGATCATGCCTTTCGGTTTGACCAACGCCCCCGCGGTATTCATGGACTTGATGAATCGAATATGCAAGCCCTATTTAGACAAATTCATCATGGTCTTCATCGATGACATTCTCATATACTCAAGAAACAAAGAAGAGCATGAGTGTCACCTACGTACAGTAATGGAGTTACTAAGAAAAGAGAAGTTRTATGCYAAATTCTYCAAATRCGAGTTTTGGATCCGTGAAGTACAATTTCTCGGGCACATGATCAACCAAAAGGGTATCATGGTGGACCCAAGCAAGATAGAAGCAGTAATGAAATGGGAAACTCCAAGATCAGCAACGGAGATAAGGAGTTTCTTAGGATTGGCCGGTTACTATCGAAGATTCATAAAGGATTTCTCAAGAATAGCCCTCCCTCTAACATCCTTAACGAAGAAGTCAAGCAAGTATGTGTGGGGGCCAACACAAGAGGATGCTTTTCAGATCTTAAAAGAAAAACTTTGTAGCGCTCCAATTTTATCATTACCTGAAGGCTCAGAGGACTTTGTAGTATATAGTGACGTATCTCATCAAGGGTTAGGATGTGTACTCATGCAACGAGAAAAAGTTATTGCCTACGCATCACGACAGTTAAAATATCACGAAAAACGCTACCCAACTCATGACCTAGAGCCAGCGGCGGTGGTGTTCGCATTAAAAATATGGCGGCACTACTTGTATGGAACTCGATGTGTGATCTTCTCAGATTATAAAAGCCTAAAATACTTGTTTGATCAAAAAGAGTTAAACATGAGGCAAAGAAGATGAATGGAGCTACTAAAGGATTACGACTGTGAGATACGTTACCACACAGGAAAAGCCAACGTGGTAGCTGATGCCTTGAGTCGCAAGGATCACACAGCACCCATCCAGATAAAGGCTATGAGCTTAAGAGCCACCACAAGTTTGATGGAAAAGTTATTAGAGGCCCAAAAGGACGGCTTAATGAGGGAGAATCAAAGGACCGAGAGGATCGTGGGTCAAGCACAATTCCTCGTAGATGACACCCAAGGGTTGAAACGATTTCAAGGTAGATTATGGGTCCCAAAGGTTGGACCGTGTAAGGATATGATTTTAGATGAGTCTCATAAGTCAAGATACTCAATTCACCCGGGCATAAACAAAATGTACAGGGATTTAAGGGCCTTGTATTGGTGGCCAGGGATGAAGAAAGCCATTGGCAACTATGTGGAACGATGTCTAACTTGCCTGAAGGTCAAAATAGAACATCAGCGACCATATGGACAATTACAATCTATGGAGATCCCAGTTTGGAAATGGGATCACATCACCATGGACTTTGTGACAAAGTTGCCTAAGACCTTACGAAGCCATGATGCAATTTGAGTAATAGTGGATCGATTAACGAAATCCGCTCACTTTTTGCCAATAAAGGAAACATACACTTTGGATAGGCTTGCCAAGTTGTATATCGACGAGATTGTCTCTCGTCATGGAGTACCGTTGTCCATCATCTCCGACAGGGATAGTCGATTCACTTCCAATTTCTGGAAGACTTTTCAGCGGGAATTAGGTTCGAGAATCAAGCTTAGTACGGCTTACCACCCACAGACCAACGGACAAAGTGAGAGAACCATTCAAACACTCAAGGATATGTTAAGGGCGTGTGTTATCGATCTAGGTTTCTGGGATAAATACTTACCCTTGATAGAATTCTCCAACAACAACAGTTACCATAGTAGCATCCAAGCAGCACCATTCGAGGTGTTATATGGGAGGAAGTGTAGAACCCCAGTTTGCTGGGAAGAAGTTGGGGAAAAGTAGTTAGTTGGGCCAGAATAAATCCAACAAACATCCGATACGGTAGTACAAATTAGAGAGCGACTAAAGGTTGCTCAAGATCGGCAAAAGAGCTATGCTGATAAAAGGAGGAAACCAATTGAATTTCAAAAGGATGATAAAGTAATGTTGAAGGTATCACCTTGGAAGGGCTTACTTAGGTTTGGAAAGAAAGGAAAGTTGAGACCACGTTACATAAGCCCATTTCGAATTATAAACCGAGTGGGAGCAGTAGCGTACCGACTAGAATTACCTGATGAGCTTCAAGGGATTCATAATACATTTCATGTGTCGAATCTAAAGAAATGTTTAGCCAAAGAGGATGTTGTGGTTTCACTGGATGAGGTAAGCATAAACGAGAGGTTAAGCTTCATTGAAGAGCCGGAACGCATATCAGATCGAAAGATTAAAACACTAAGAAACAAGGAGATTTCGTTGGTATTGGTACATTGGAAGTTTCACAAAGGCCCCGAAGCAACTTGGGAACCTGAAACAGAGATGAGATCTAAGTACCCCCAACTGTTTAACTAGGTTGTACGAGCCTTTAAATAGATAATTTTCATTTATTAAATTTATTGGAGGTGTTAGAATATTTATATGGTTAGTTGAGGAAATAATTATCGAAATCTTAAAATGAGTTTAAAAATCGGACCAAAAGTGAAGGAAGAAGTCAAGTCATGGGTGGAAGTTGTCTTTTCGCAATAGTGAAGGGGTTGGGATAGTTGTAAGCAGGTGCAATGCAGAAGGACCTGTTTCGTAAATGTGCAACAGACCTGCACTACAGAGGGACTGTTTTGTACCTACGCAACAGACCTGCACTGCAGAGGGGCTGTTTTGTACCTACACTTCAGACCTGCACTTCAGGGGCGAAAACGACCTCACCTTTGGAGCTCCATATTGGTCCGAATATTCAACTATTATGACAAAAACCTCAATATATAAATAGGCTACACCTTGGTCTAGAGTTTCATTCAGACTTCTTGAATTTTCGCTGAGAATCGGGAGAGAAATCGGAGCCTGTCGATTAGAGGTAAAATACTCAACTAACGTTCATGTTCTTTTATGGTTAGCTTCATTTTGGGTCCTCTGTAAAACACTTAATCTCATTAAGTGTAGGACTAGAGGCTCTGGTCAATAGGACCAGAGGCGATGGAAAGTAAATCTCTTAATTTTGTTAAGTGTCCGTGTAGGACCAGTGGCTCTCGTCGTGAAGCCAGAAGCTATGGAAGATAGACTAGAGGGGCTCCGGTCTTGGATGTTGAATTATTTTCTAAGTATGGGTTGGTTTAACCAGATGCTCTGGTCATGAAGACCAGAAGCTCTGGAAGAGAGACCAGAGGGGATCTGGTCTTGTGTTAAAATATATTCTAAGTCTGGTTAGTGAAACAAGAGGCTCTGGTCACGAAGAACAGAAGCTCTGGAAGAGAAGCCAGAGGGGCTCTGGTATCTATACTACTTTATTAAGCATTTTCACTTAAAGTCTTAAAGTCTTAAATTTATAAATACCCAAAATACCCCTTCACCTTTCTATACTACTTTATAAAGCAAATTTGCCTAAAGTCTTAAAAACACCTTAACATGCATAAAGTACTACCCTTTAATGCAAAAAATCTTAAAGTCTTAAAAATATACAACTTCTTTATGCATAAAGTCATAAAGTACTACCCTTTAATGCAGAAACACCTAAACCCTAAATGACGCTCTCCTCGCACGCTCTCCACGACTCTAAACCCTACACCACTCCAAATGACGCTCCTCTTCCCAAGACAACTCTGCCCAACCTCCGGTTCTCTCTATCGCACGCTCTCCACGATTACAGTGATGCCGATTCAGTCTCCAAGGCAACGATTCAGGCGACTTATAAATGATTCTGTGTCACGATTCTCTCTATTCGCTCCTGTCACGATTTACCTATCAAAGCACGAGGCGATTTTGTGGAGGTTTCAAGCGATTTTGTGATTCAGGCGATTCTTTGGAGGTTCTCAAAGGTACTTATTTTTCTTTAATGTTCTTTAGGAATTGAGTTATTGAACTCCAAAACCTGATTTGGGGTAAAACCATTATGTGTTGATATTGCTTTGCTCTCATTGTTTTCTCTGCAAGAAGTTCAATTATCGGGTAAAATGTTGAAAACCCCTTTTAGAACTTAGGGTTTCATTTGTACAATAGTTTAATTATCGTTTCTCTGTTTCTCCTTCACCATTGATTCCGAGTTTCATTGTTTTTTTATTGTTTGACATCGAACTTAGGGTTTCATTTGTACATTTGGATTGCTCATTGTTTCTTTGTTCTTTGATGTCAAATTCAGGATTTCATTTATGCATTCAGATTTCTCCATCACTCTCCAGGTTTGAACTCTCTCTTCTATCAGATTTTTTCTTCATTGGTTGTTTGCCTCTCATTTTTGTGTTTTTTTCAATGGTTTTCTTACACAGTTCACCCTTTATCATGAGTAACATCGACAACTTCTGATGCTTACCAAGAGCAGGCTCAGGTACATAACTTAAACTCTCACTCTGCTGTTGATATGTCTAAAACCTATAGGGATTTAGCTTCCATGGCTTGAACCCACCTTAGAACTTGAAAATTGTTGGTTTGTTTCCACAAGGCGTGTAACTGAGCATGTTTTGTAAGTAGCAAGTGGCTTGCATCCTGGGTGTGAGGATGAGCCGTTAAACCTCTAGCAAATGTTCTACCATCTGCACAATATCACCCATTCTAGAGCAATCTCAATTTTTTTAGATTCAAAAGTTTTACTAAAATCTGAGAAATGGTAGATGAAACTTTCATAACTGATTCTGTTGAAATCAGTGTTTTACTGTAATAAAACGGAACTCCATTAATTGAAAATAGGTAAATAAAGAAATCTTGAATAATTCGAAGAAGAAACAAATAAAGGGGTAGTAATACAGGATTTAAAAGGGCATTAATAGGATTTGTGATCAAAAGGGTGTTAGAAGATGAGTATTATCCATCTTTCCATGGAAGATTAGAGTACTTCTTCTCCCGTATATATTTAAAAACAAGGGCTTATTTTTGTTCTCCAAACATGTGAAACCAGTATTTGTGCATTCTTCTTGATCCTGTTCAAATCTCCCAGATGATTAGTAACTTCCTTTTCAAATCTCCCATAACATTGGTCAAAACTCTTTGTATGTTATACCTAAACAACACATATGAAGTAAGTTACAGACGTAACACATATGAAGTAAGTTATAAAGAATGTACTAACTCCATAGCAGAAGACCACAGCCCCACTTCAAATCTTTCAAAGCAAAACTTCAAGAACGATTCACAAAAAGGCCTCCTGTAAACTGTACATACATATAGATAGATATATACATACAACAACAGGTTAATGAACAAATTTTGGATGATTTTGGATTCATTTCAGCAAAAAAGAAGAGATGAAAAGGGTAAAACTTTGAACTCACTCAGAAAATTCCCAAAAGAGAAATTAGGACGGCGGTTTTTGGGAATGTTGTTAATGGGCTCAGCGAACGATGAATCCACCGAGAGGAATAACGAGGAGTTTCTTTTTGGGACCAAGATTTAGTTTATCTAAACAAATGTCTAAATCTGTTTTTGTTTCTTTTTCATCATCATCATCATCTTCTTCTTCTTCTTTGTTGTGATGAACAGATACAACAACAAGGTTCTTCAACTTGGAATCTTTAGATGCCATTGCGAGAATGGGTTTTGATTCAAAATTATAATAAAGTTTTGATATGATATGGTTTATATAAATGAGTTTTTTGGAATTTGGAGGAAGAATGGAGACAGTTGGTTTCATTCTTTAGTTGCCCAATCTCTTGTACTTCCTTTTTTTTTCATATAACTAAATTTGATAACTGATTGCATAAATATAACAGCATTTTCCGATACAAGATTCTTAAATGACGGTTGGGTATGTGTCATTAATGTCTCAAGGCTTACGGCTTAATGACTTGATTGTTCTTGCTATCATCTTTGAACTTCTTGTGCTTTTTTGATGTTTTTTACCTGCCATTTACTTTTACTCCTGTTTTTGTTTCATTTTACTAAGTTTTTGCATATAGTAGTCATACATTGAAACGACAACTCCATATGTTAGCATCGCCTTGTTCTTATTTACTAACCAGTTCCTATGCAGCGATTGACAAATCTTTAACCCTGGATCATCTCCTACCTCTTCGTAACCCTCAAAATTTGTTCCATTAATGTGTTTTGCGCTTTTGATTACTGGTAGTTGTTATTTACAAAGTCTATTTTGTAGCTTGAATGTCACTTCGATAAGCCTGTTTGTTTTCTTCTTGGATGATTGTACTGGTCGTGGGGAAGAGGATGCCATTAATGATGATGATATCGGCACTCATGAAGATGATGGTGTTGATGATTCATGCACTGACAATAATAATGAGGTGAAATACGTAGATGTAATAGAGGAAATTTATGGACTTTGATGTACAATTTGATGCTGGCAGCCTATGAATTAAAGGTAAGCTGCAATTTTACACCACAATGTAGTTCAAACTTGACATTAAGGGGCCGTTTACCAAACACTTCCCCGATAAGCGCTTACCAGTAAGATTTAACATTATTATTTACTTACCGGGTAAGATTTTAGTCCACCAAAACGCTATCATATACAATGATTTACCTGGTAAGCGCTTATTGTGGTAAGAATCGTCGCCCTCACTTACCGGGTAAGACTCTTGGTCCTTATACGATTCTTGGTAATTACCATATTCATTCGATAAGTTAATGCGACTTGGCGTTCACTTACCCGAGTAAGCGTTTGGTAAAGGGCTCCTAATCTATTTTCCCTTATTTGATCCTGAGCTTTTAATGTCTTTTAGAATGGCTTCAAAATACCCCAAGAGAAAAGCAAAACTTGCAATGCCCCATCATCGATTGTTGAAAAAAGCTTCAGATCCAAAGTTGGCAGTCTTCAAGATCCTGACTTATGGTTAACTCAATTTGATAAGTGCGGATGGAGTTACATTTGAAGGAGACGGGACTGGAGCGGATTGGCGTGAGTGATAAAGGAGAAACCAATAAATTTTGAAGAAGAGGCAAAAAATATAACATATTTATTTGAGATGCTCTTATATTTTATCTTTATTGAGTTTAACGATTTACATTGAATCTGAAGTTAAAAAATGTAACCAAACGGGTTTATGGTTTTGCTAGTTTTGTTGCAGTGTCACCACAAACTTGATGGCTTCATGCACTTATATTTGTTGTTCAGTTTTCATGATCAATTGGTTTTATGTATTTGGCTTGGTCATAATAGTTGATCATGGTGGCACTCCTTTGTCGCTGCCATCCAAAGGGGAGAAGTTTGATCTTGTGCTTATTGATACTAACGTCACCAAATGAACATGACAAGGGGCAAAAATCTTATCTGGTAAGAGATGATAAGAATGGATATTCTTACCCGGTAAGTAAGGGTGACGACTTTTACCCGGGTATGCGTTTATCAGGTAAATTGTTGCATAAATACGTTTTGATAGCCCTATAATTTTACTCGGTAAAATAAATTATAGTATTGACTCCTAACGGTAAGCGCTTACCGGAAAAGCTTTTAGGTAAACGGCCTTTAAATCACAAAAAAAACATGGATCTACAAGAAATATGCGAGTTCAAGATCGTAGTTTTGCCTCTGTGACACTCTGTTGAGAACTATGATAGCCCTATGACACTCTGTTGAGAACTTTGATTAGTTATACCGTATCCCGTTCAATTATCCTTGTATTTAGTTTTTTAGAATCATGTGCAAGTAATTGTTTCTTGCATCGACATTATTTAAATTGTTTGTGGCATGATAACATTATATCTTTGAATAATATTTTGGATGGATGCATTTTTCTATATACTTTTTAATCATTTTGGAAACAAATTTGACTTGGGAGTAGGAATAACCCAAAAAAGTATTAGCGAGAAGATTTGTCGTTCAACGAGACTGTATGGTCGCTCATAATCTTATTCATTGCACCCATAATTGCACTAACAAGTGGGTTTGTATTTGTACACAATTCATATAAGCGATTTGTATTTTACGGATGATTGAAAAAAATATGAGAATTAATGTTTTGGATCGGTAGATATTTGAATCTAACTTACATACAAATGTAAGAAAAAAATTACGATAACCATTGTTTGTTTGTGGCTTTATAACATCTTAAGCAAAAAATTGATATTTTGAAATAAATAAAACTTAATGAACTTTTTGTATCCCGCCGCATTGCGTGGGTATACAACTAGTTAGATGTTGAAATATATTCTAAATGAGGTTTAGAACCAGAGGCTCTGGTCGCGAAGACCCGAAGCTCTGGAAGAGAGACCAGAGGGGCTCTGGCCCTTGATGTTGAATTATTTTCTTATGGTTTACAACCAAAAGGGCTTTGGTCAAGGTAACCAGAGGGGCTCTAGTCCCAAAGGACTTAACGAGTCCAGAGGCTCTGGTCATTACAACAGACGCTCTGGTCGTCCACAGAGACTTTGGTCATTCACAGAGGCTCTGGTCGTCCACAGTGGCTCTGGTCGCCCAGAGAGACTTTGGTCGTTCACAGAGGCTCTAGTCGTCCATAGAGGCTCTGGTCTTCTTCCAGACTTAGTCGTTTTAAGATATATAGCTAGACGATACACTTTATGTCGGAACTCACGTTCCTATAATTTTTTGTTAATGTGAGGAACGTTCTTAAGCATAGTTGACCAAGGTTGACCCTAGCCGACGTAGTTGACCATAAGTTGACTTTTATGTTAGCCTTTGGGAGAAATTAATCATTTATATGCTATTTCCTATTATAAATTGTAGGTTACCAGTTAGCATCGTTAGTTGAATAATCTTCGTTATCAGGTGAGTACATTATGCGATTTTTATGGGATATATACATGATTATTACAAAAGTATTTTATCCATGATATATGCGTGATATGTTTATATACACATGATGATAACTTGATTATATTGATGTGCATGATATTTAAATATATGCATGATATGAAAGATGATGTTGATGAGAAAGATTATGATGACTTGTTATTATCAATATGATATTCAGGTATGTGTATAATGTGAAAAATGACAATGATGCATATGTGATTTATGTTGTCACTTGCATGAGATGTATGTTGCATGTCACGATGAGATTTGCATTAATGAGTGAGTATTGCAAATAAATGATATGCAACTAGTATGATTCGGCAAGATTCGTCCATCGTACGGGGTAGGTTGGACATGAAAGGAGGGCTTGCAATTCCGAGGTCTTGGAGTCCTCGTCTATAGAATACGCCACATACACAAAGAAAATTGACGAGCCGAAGCCTCACTTGCAAGATAATAATTAAAATACACTAAAACATTGTTTTATGTGTGCATGTGATCATGAAACCATACTGTATTCACTAAGCTTTTAGCTTATACTATACATGTATATATCTCAGGTATCAATTGTCAGTAGACGAGTTGAAAGAAGAAACTATGTTTTGAATCATGCTTGACTAGATATTTAATTAGCATTGATTACATTAAAGTATTTTACGCTTCCGCAATTATGTAACGATTTATGTTAAACATATTATGTGTGTTTGAAATTTTAAGTTCGTATTTTTGTTCAAGACCTAAGTTATTAAGAATGACGTCACAAAACTCGAAAGAAAAAAAATCGGGGGGTGACAAATATCCACTGTTCAGCCATCACATGTTACTAAGTGGACCAAAAGCCATCCACAATCTCAAATTATTAGAGAACCCTCTGCTGGTGTGAAGACACGAGCCACTGCAAATTTCTTCTTATTTGCTTGTTTTGTAAGTGAAACTGAACCAAAAACAGTGGCAGAGGCTCTGGCAGATCCCTTTTGGGTTGATGCTATGCAAGATGAGCTCATTCAGTTTGACATAAACCATGTTAGCTTTAATTTTAAAGCTAATAATTAACTTGAAAAAGTTTCATGAAACAATCCAGAGCTAGAAGACGAATTGAAGAAGTATCTGCGCCAAAACGTCTAAAGTCTAGAAGACCAGCCTCTGTGCTAAAGAGTCCCGGATAACCAGAGCCTCTTTTAGAGACTACAGAGCTTCTGTGAAGACCAGAGCCTCTGTGAGATTCTATGCGGATCAGAGTTCTTGGACTCCAAGTCCCTTGGACCAGAGCCCCTCTGTGAAGACCAGAGCTTCTGTGATTGCTCACAGAGCCTCTGGTGATGTTAACCGAGCCTCTGTTCTATTTGACAAGAGACTCTCTGGCTGTGCCGTCCTCTGTTATCTTTTAGA